GACCGCATTGCCTATTGCATCGAGCGGGGTGGGTAGTGATAAGTGGACCACTGTTCAGATATCCCAACCTTAGTTTAATTCTCTGTCTTGCGTACCCAGTCCTCTCCCTTCACCCCTTCTTCCGACCTGTAATAGTCCCTCAGGCAACTTGGATGTCGTTCGCCAAAGGTCGTTGCCAAATAGCTATGTAAGTAACACACCACGAAGTGAATTGCAAATTCTAAAGCGTCGTCAATTACTGAATTTGGGGACCTTCAACTTGAGGACTCTGAGGCAGGTGGGTCAACAAGCTTGTCTGTGGCTCGTAACTCGGGCTGGGGAAAACCGCGTGGAGATCAACAAATAACGTGGAGACGAGGCATAAAGAATTGCAGAGTCATTAGGTGGAGTAGGTGTCTCGCCTTCCAGGTTGAGGTCCGAAAGACTCCACAACCGGTTGATTGGAGACATTAAAGGATATGGCAGCGAACCGACAGCAGTGGTGTTCTTGTTGTCATTTGTTATCAGGCCAGAACGCTTGAAACGGCATGTACGCATAGTTCGATTGTGCACTCTGTGTTGACCACAGTGGTTCACCTTCTTCTCCCTCCCTCAAAGTAGGTCCAATCGCTGTCCACCTTAAATTTTACCACCAATCTTGTATGCATTGCGAGTTTGGCAGCGATCAGTAAAGTCCGTTTCACTGTATTTCGCTGTACGATGATGATGATGATTCAATGTCAACATTTCGGAGGCCACTTACTGTGTTTCCTAGCATTTTGTCTATGACGAAATTGAACAGGAATGGCGAAAGAGGGCACCCTAACACTAACACGCACTTTTGATGCGGGCCAGAATGTTCCGGTATCAGACCAAAGATAACAGTGGCTTACCCTTTCCTGAGGAGATGGTTCGGATAGGGTCAATCACGATTGCCACGAAAGGCTCTTGGAACTTCTGATTCATAAGCTGCGTAGTGACATCGATCCCGGAAAGCCAACAACCATATCCTGGATGCGAATGATACCATCCCAGCACATTTTCCGTTCGTCCAACTCGTGCGACCACCTCCTTGTATGTAGTCATATATTCATAGGCTTCCGCCTGAAAAGATAATGGGGATAGCCTTTTTAGATGATACAGCGGAGATATTTGAGTAAAACAGGATACATAAAAACAGTTGCACATTCCTCATGCAGGAAGGACTATTACATTCAAATACTCGCGGTCTAGGAATATAACAATTACAACAAATTGGTGCGTGCAACCCACGCGTAAATGATCACTTGTATTAAACCAATTGAACTCTGACAGGGTGAGAAGATAAGTCGATCAAGTGGACTCAATATGGTTGAGATCAGAAGCCGGTGAATTTCGCACTTCCCTAAATTGCTTTGACTTTTTCCACCCTAAAAATGTGCCCATCTAACTGCATAAATGTTCGATGGACTTGATTCAACTGGAATCTAGGACTGATGACACGTCAGGACTGCGCGGGAAGTATAAACAATGCACCTGACAGAAATGAACGCACTGACTCAACAAACATGGATAGAGACATTAGATCCGTATAGTGGACGATCTCGCGCTCTAACACTCAGGATCGTGACAATAAAGAAAGCAAAGCCTGAACGGAAGAAAATCAACCGTAAACTTGGGGTAGATACAAACAGAAAGGATGGCGCAAGTGAAAAATACACGAACAATATGATGCAGTAAAGCACCATGATCATGAAACATTGGTGAAACCAAATAGAACTGAATGACCGATGTGAATAGAAATGTTTAGGGCAGTGAATAACTGAAACTAACCTGAGCGTTGACGCGTGTTTCCGTTCCTTCTACTGGCAGCGGGGAGCTATCTACAACAATCATTGTCTGGTGTGCAACCTTGCCAATCAGAACGCCCATGATCTGGAACAGGTTAGTCAAGATCATGGCACAGAGAAAAGACGTTAAGTAATAAAGAACAATTGATTCTTACAGATAAAAAATAGCAAACAATGAATTTCGCCCAAATGTCAACAATGATGAACTTGGAAGGAAAAAACAGTTTGGTTTACATAACCTTTCATTTTATGATACTTTTTAAATCGACAGCACTACAGTGAAATGAGTGGTTTTTGGAAAACAATCGGACTGAGTTCATAACTTTTCGTCAGTAAAATCTACCGCAGGTTTGATCGGACAAGCTTTCAAAATGCACTCTGGGAACAGCAAGAACGCGATCATTTTTTCTGTAGAGTGGCAAAACAAAGAGGATATTGGCTAAAGCAGTATTCTCAACTTTACCAATAGCGCTATAGTTAGGAGCACTGACTATCACACGCAGCAATGCTCATAAAAACTAAGACTTTAAAATAAAAGTAACTGAAAACAGACAAGGAATGCTTACTTCAATGTTTCCGCCAGAACGAGCATGAATCAGCATTTTTAGAAGAGCAACGGCTGATATTTTTATATATTTGAAATAATGTGGATCTTTCTCCCAAGGTTTGGCATTCACAATAGACTGATGAGCTTTCACATCGTACTTGAAGTACTCATCAACGGGACCAAGAATCGTTTCTACATTGTTCTCTGTCTCCCAGGCCGCCTGTGCGCTTGTACACGCATTCAGCTGGCCTATGTTTGTGGGTTCGTTTTGAGCATCATTTCGTTCTGTTAAAGTTGAAGCAGCATCGGGAACAGATGCCCCAACGTCCTCTGTCTCCATTATGTGGGCTAAAACAATAAGGGAACAAATTTAAATGTATGCGGACAAATGTACATGGTTCCCTAAGTGACAGTGAACACGGAAAGGAGCAAGATCGGTTAATTTGACTTTAAAATAGCCCCTGTAATACGAAAACTTTGGGAGATCTCTTGCTGTATACCATCAACCCATGGCGTTAGGAGAAAAAGAAACCGTTAAAAAAGGGTGCTTCGTTTGCCAACTGGTGATTCTCGTAGGTGATATATTACTACTAAGATATGAAATGACTATTTGTTCACCACATTTCGGTAATAATTCCCAGCCGATTCACTGAACCAGAGGATTACGGAGAGTGTACGAATGAGTGGTGAAACCAGTCAAGGCCTAAAATTTTAAAGGAGCCTTAAAACTGTTTAAATATGGAATAATAGTGTTTTTCTGCGTTCTAGGATGCTATCTTATGACGTGACTCTTCAAGAAAAATAATAATGAGCTGCTATGAAGCAGAACTGGTGTAGTGTTTACGATTGAGTAGCACAAAAAGGTTTTTGTAACTGTCCAGTAGAACCTGGACAGTTAGAAAATTTCACTCGGAATAGGATTCCCACAATATGCAGTACAAAAGAACGAAGTAGTAACCGATCAAGGTTCAACTGTAGGTAAAACGTCTGATGTGGATGTTTAATCCCGATCACTTCTTTCTTTAGGAATGGTGACTAGTGAAGACCATTAATATGCTTTAAAATAAGAAGGTAGCTTTTTATACCCCTTTCGAAAAGTAATCATTAGGCAGTCGTTCATGCGGTTGTTTCCAAGAAATCAAAAGAAAGAAGTACGTTAGAAATTCGTTTTAATTAGCGCTGACTATAACGAGAAGTTTACAGCGTGTCGGTGAGGAGAGACAAATGCATAGAAAAAGGTGAAAGAAGAATTACAATTGATCCCGCCATGATCGGGTTTATTGTTATTCGTAACCAGAATGGCAGTATGTAACAGTATCTCGTCCCGATCCGGAACACAGTGAATGTTGTATCCACTGCTTATAGGATTGGACCATGCCACGGGCCGGCTATGCATGCAGCACGAGCTCGTATGTAAAGAACGGGTTCGAGGTAGTGGAGTCGGTTATTCGCAGTAGTTAAACTCGATATACCATCCGGTTTGGTCGAATCACCTTGAATTCACAGTGAAACGGCCGTATTGGGGACGAAGAACGAGCTACCAAACGCTTCAGAAGCGTGTCAGCATATCGAGTACACGAGTTGGGAACTGGATCTGAACAAACGAAAAAGCCATTAAACATGCATTAGTGTTTCAACGGTTGTTTCCACTGCCCCCGCGGTTGCGGTCGGGGAAATTCGGCTTTTCGTCCATCTGTTATGGGGTTTGGTTCTGTATTCGGAAGCAAAGTGACCAACGGCAAACGGGACCAGTTGACAAATGTTCGCAGCGGACGAGCAGGAACGTTGATATTCATAGCTTTAAGGCGAAGATTACGATCGGAAGTGAGTAACACGACCTCCCTGACAATCCGCATTGGTTGATCTGAAAGGGGGAAAGGGTTGGGTGAGAATTAACTCAAATAATTATCCACAGGACGCAAATTTACGATAAATATATGATGATATATATATGACAGTTTTGTAAACAACGGTGTTGATTGTTGTTTTTGTAGTTCGGGTAGCATAACTTGGTGTTCAGTTGTTCGCCGAGCTTGACAATTGTATTGCAAACGTTTCATCAACAATCGAGGTGACATTCTCAGTGCAGTAACAGTTACTGCATTGAGAATGTCACCTCGATTGGTGATGAAACGTTTACAANATAGAGAGAGAGAATCGGTTGAAAACGATTGTATTGAGAGAAGTTACCGAAACTAAGGAGACACCAGGACTAATCAAGATAATAACAGCTTACTGTCTTGTTCACCGGCCAACCCTTGATCCGCAGTTCTTCCAAAGCCACCTAGGCGTATGCGATCGGAATCATCTTTGCAAAAGTGGTTGCAACAAGCAAGTATTACATCGTCATTTGTCTGACCTGGTTCGCGACCTCCGTTGATTTCTGTACGATAGGCAATTGTTTCTAGG